TTCTTTTCCTTCACGAGTCACTGGAGCTTAGGGCTTCCGGCCCTTACTCCTACCACGTCCCAGTTCCTCCCTCGTAGTTGCTCACCAGGATTTGTCTAATCTCTAAGAGCTTCTTTGGCCCCTTCAGCCTCAGTGCTCTCACAGCCTGCCCACAGCACCTCATCCTGCTCACGGCTGTGTTGAGGTGTGAGGACTACTGTGTGTGCACACTGTCTCTCCAATAGACTACACATCCCCTGAGAGCAAGGAGGGTGGAATAAACAGGCAGTCCCAGGCCTACGAGCTGTGAGACGGCAGGCAAAGAGGAAATAAAATATGCTTTGGAGTTAGGCAGCCTGAAGTTCAAATGTTGACCCTTCCATTTAAGAGCTGGTGTCCTTAGAGAAGTTACTCAGCCTCTGTGGGCCTGTTGTTGCCTCTGTAAAAGCAGACAGGTAAGAACATCTATCTTGAAGGGTTGTAAGGACCAAACTACTACCCATAAAGGAACTGGCACCTGGTGAGTTACCTATTAGAAGCTGTTTGCAAAAGGGGCAGCCAGGGGCAGGCTCTGGAGTCTGCAACCCTGAGTTTAAACCCTGGTTTTGCTAACCGCTTGCTACGTAAGGACGCCCTTCACCTCTCTGAGACTCAGAGTCCTCATCCATAGACTCGAGATAAGAGAGTCTCAATCTCAAAGGGCTGAATGAGATACTGCTAGGACAGCTGAGCACAGCACTAGGTTCACGGGAGCCTTGGTCCTGACAAACAGTTCATGCTGTGGCTGTGCTCAGATGTGTGGGTATGAATCTTGACTCAACTACTTACTAGCTGTGTGATGAGGGTCAAGTTGCTTAACTTCTCTGTGCCCTCATATGAAAATGGAACATAATAAAGTCCACTTTTTTTTTTAGTGTTGTTACAAGTATTAGGTGAGAATTCATTAAATGGATTTAGTCAAGTGTCTAGTACCTGGCAAGAGCTTAAGAAATATTAGCAACCCTGGCCAAGTAGCTCCATTGGTCAGAGGGCCATCCTGATATGCCAAGGTTGTAAGTTCAATCCTTGATCAGGGCACATACAAGAATCAAACAATGAATGAATAAATACGGTAAGTGGAACAACAAATTGATGTTTTCCTTCTCTCTTCCTCTCTCTCTAATATCAATTAAAAAAAAAAAAAAGAGCCATGGCAGATGTGGCTCAGTTGGGCAATGTCCCATGCACCAAAAGGTTGCTGGTTTGATTCCCAGTCAGGGCACATGCCCGGGTTGTAGGACAGGGCATGTAGGAGGCAGTTGACAGATGTATCACTCTCACATTAATGTTTCTCTCTCTCCCTCCTTCTCTAAAAAAATAAAAAATAGCCCTGCCAGCATGGCTCAGTGGTTGAGCATTGACCTATGAACTAGGTACAGTGGTTCTCAACCTTTCTAATGCCGCAACCCTTTAATACAGTTCCTCATGTTGTGATGACCCCCAACCATAAAATTATTTTCGTTGCTACTTCATAATTTTATTTTTGCTACTGTTATTAATCGTAATCTAATGGTCTTAGGCGACCCTGCTAGCGGTTCTTAACCTGTGGTTCTCGACTGCTATAGAGCCTAAGACCACCTGAAAACACAGATATTTACATTACCATTCTTAACAGTAGCAAAATTACAGTTATGAAGTAGCATCAAAAATAATTTTATGTTGGGGGGGTCACCACAACATGAGGAACTGTATTAAAGGGTCTCGGCATTAGAAAGGTTGAGAACCACTGAACTAGGAGGTCAGTATAAGATTCCAGGTCAGGGTACATGCCCAGGTTGCGGGCTTGATCCCCAGCAGGGGGCGTGCAGCAGGCAGCTGATCAATGATTCTCTCTCATCATTTGTTTCTGTCTTCTCCTTTCCTTTCTAAAATCAATATATATATTATAAAATCAATCTTTTTTAAAAAAGAAGTATTACAAAAAGCACAAAAAGTAAACCAAACAAAAATACAAAAGAGAAAAATTAAAAAAAGAAATATTAGCGAATTGCTTTTTTTCTATGTAACACTATATTCTAAACAACTGATTTACAAAAAAAACACACAAACCTTCAGAACACAACCCATCCTAAGGGAGGACAGCACAGACCCTCTTCAGGACTAAAAGTATGGGTGTCCTTGCAGGGTTCCCACAAGCCCTCCCCAGAGCAGGAAGAGCCTAAGGCTCTCCTCCAAGGCAGGGAGGGAACTCCTCCCAGTATATTCTGGCCTCAGGGCCAGGATTCCCTCTCCAGACCTCAGAGAAAGTAAAGCTCTGCACACCCAACTTCCTCAGGCTGCCAAGAGCCAGAGGCAAAGGAGAGACTGTGTCGTGCTGGAGCAAGGAGGCCACCCAGATGCAGAAGGAAAGCCAACAACTGCAGGGCCCTATGTAAGTTGGACCAAAAGAGGCTCTGTGGGGATGCCCCTACAGAGGCTGAACCCCATGCTTGTTCTCGGGCCAAACAGTCCTGGCCAGTCACCACCCTAGATCTGGCCTCAGAATTCTCCTCAACCCATTCCTCCCAGCAGCCACTACCAATGGTAGCTTGTTAGTGCCCGGAGCACGTCCCTTTGCCATTCTTATTACAGGGCTCAAGCCTCTTAAGTTTCAATAGAGGAAAACAATTTTCAAAGTATACTGACAATCCCTGTCTCACTGATGCACTAAAAAGTGCTCTGGGCTGGGTAAGGGGATACGTGCCCACATTTTATAGATGGGAAAACGGACTTCATTCCAACAATATAAGATGGGGCTGAAATAAAAATCTTTGTCATCCAATGCATTCATCTGTTCATTCTTACAAACATTAACATCTACTATGACAAGCTATTGCACAAGGCCTGACTGAGGGTGACAGGTGAGGGGAGAAAAGCAAGTACATATAGATGAGTCAAACATGTTTTGTTTGGTCACCAGTTTAGAAAATAATTTGTTGAAGAAATGAAGAGAGCCTGGCCAGTGCGGCTCAGTAGTTGAGTGTAGACCTATGAACCAGGAGGTCACGGTTCGGTTCCTAGTCAGGGCACATGCCTGGATTGTGTGAGCAAGCGGGAGGCAGCCACTCTCTCTCATCATTGATGTTTCTCTCTCTTCCTCTCCCTTCCTCTCTAAAATAAATAAAAATATATATATATTAAATATGTATATATTAAAAAAAAAAAAAGCCAAAACCGGTTTGGCTCAGTGGATAGAGCGTCGGCCTGTGGACTAAAAGGTCCCAGGTTCGATTCCGGTCAGGGGCATGTACCTTGGTTGCAGGCACATCCCCAGTAGGGGGTGTGCAAGGGCAGCTGATCAATGATTCTCTCTCATCGATGTTTCTAACTCTCTACCCCTCTCTCTTCCTCTCTGTAAAAAATCAATAAAATATATCAAAAAAGAAAAAAGAGCAATGAAGAGAGCGATAAAAGAGATGCTACCCCTACCGAAAGGGAATCTAAGATCCACTCCAGGGCTCTTTCTACTTTAGGTTCTTCCCCAAGAAGTCAAAAGGCGCCCTCCCACCGTGAGGCCTTCCTGCTGCCTTCCTGGGGGACACCACGCCCCTGGGGAAGTGGCAATGGGGGGAAGACTACTTCCCACTGAAGGGCCATGACAAACCAATGGGTCTCCACATCCTTCCCCTGACCAAGGGATAGGCCTGCTACACCCCAGCCACAACCCACAGAGAGGAGCGGGCAGGCTCCTGCAGTAAGAACCCAAATGCTGGGGCTGTGAATGAAGCCAGTGGCTCGCCTGGAAGTCCCCTGGGGCTGGCCATGACCTTCTCAGAAGGCTTTAGTGAGGGGAAGCGGGGATCTGCCCGCCCCGCAGGGCCCTGTCGCCCTTCTGCTGTTCCCACCTGTGGAGGAAACGGCTGTAGGCTTGCGGTCTCCCCAACTTCTGGTTCAGCTCAAGGTCAGTCACAGCGCACAGGCTGTGAGTGCTGGGTCGCACCCTGACCCACCTGACCATTTCTGTTCATTCCAGAGGTTTGTGGAGCCTCCACCACATGCAGGCTTAGTGGTAACCTGGGAATACAGGAAGAGCTCCCTCTGAGGGCAGCAAGAGCCAAAGTGATAATTACAGAGTCAGTGTAAGAGGCTCCATGACTTAAGGGTGGCGACTCCGGAGCCAGCCTGGTCTCATTTTGAAACCTACTCTGGCCACTTGTTAGCTTGTGACTTTGAGGAAGTTGCTCAACCTCTCTGAGCCTTAGTTTCCTCACTGGGTAGTAGTATCAACCTTATGAGATGAAGGTGCACATTAGAGATGACATAACAGAAAAGCCTAGCCCATAGCTAAGCAATTCATGGTATTACTGATGTCTAGATTCAATACCGTGAGCATACAGGGAATATGTGGGGTGGGGCAGGAAGCAGCGTTCAAGAAAGCAACAAAAGATGAAGTGGCAATTACCAGTAAGTTGGATCAGGGGAAAAAAACGATTCTTCCTTTGCTCACTGCCAGGGAAGGCGGGCATGGCAGTGAGCAAAGGCTCCAAGGCGTGAATTGCACCACATGGCCGGGGGCACGGGAGAGCGGGAGAGCAGCAGGAGATGGAGGAGGAGGGGCCTGGGGCTTGCCTGGATCCTGCAGGCAAGTGCGCCTCTGCGGACAGGCGAGTTTTCAGGAAAGTGGAAGATAGTTTGTTCACTGACCATGACACTAAGCAACCTTGAATCATGTGATGAGAAAGTTAATTCCCTTTTTATTTATTTTAATTTTTTTAAAATATATTTTATTGATTTTTTACAGAGAGGAAGGGAGAGAGAGAGAGCTAGAAACGTCGATGAGAGAGAAACATCGACCAGCTGCCTCTTGCACACCCCCTACCGGGGATGTGCCCGCAACCAACGTACATGCCCCTGACCGGAATCGAACCCGGGACCTTTCAGTCCGCAGACCAACGCTCTACCACTGAGCCAAACCGGTTTCGGCATATTTATTTTAATTTTTAATTTTTAAACCTGGGCATGTGCCCTGGCAGAGAATAAGTTTATGTTCAACCACTGAGCCACCTTGGCCGGGCTATTCCCTTTTCTTTGTTTTAAACAAATCCATTTTATATCTTTACTTTTCAATAAGTTTACATTCTTGAGGGGTGCGGCATTACCCGGACTCTGTGTCCAATGGCCTTAGTGGGAAGGTTGCTTTGGAATTGAGCACGAGCCATGCCACTGTTCCCGTGAGCACAAGTTCCCTTTCCCCGGCTTACTCCGGTTTCACTCCTTTTACCACCAGGAGTCACTGTCTTGTTCTTTGCTTTGTACACATAAGCACATCTCTTGCCTAGATAGACTTCAGTTTCATCTTGAGCATAAGCACCTTTAATTTTTTTTAAATATATATATATTATTCCAGAGAGGAAGGGAGAGGGAGAGATAGAAATATCAATGTTGAGAGAGAATCATTGTTTGGCTGCCTCCTGCATGTCTCCTCCTGGGAACCGAGCCCACAACCTGGGCATATGCCCTTGACTGGAATGGGACCTGGGACCCTTCAGTCCGAAGGCCAATGCTCTATCCACTGAGCCAAACCAGCTAGGGCAGCACCTCTAATTTTAAGAAGAGCTGTGTGCTCCCTCTGGTTCTGGAGACCCTGCTGAGAGCCAACAGAAGTGGCCTTGAACCACAACCTTCCAGACATGTGTGTTGTTACAGAAGCCCTGCTCCCATCAGGCCTCCACAGGCTCCGCGATGGAGCAAAGAAGGCAACGTTATTCCTTTTTCAGCTCTGTTTCAAGCCTTTCCTCCCATCAGGAGGAAGTCTCCACTTTTTTTTTTAATTATTATTATTTTTTTATAGTGGCCATTCTTTTATTTGAAAGTGAATAGATGCTCAGGCCACACACTCTGGGTATGACAGTACTGCTGCCGCTGCACAGAGTGATTCCGTCCGGGAAAAACGCTCATCACAGTGTGTCACTGTGACCACCTACACTTGTTTAAAGTAATAATCATTTCTCTGGAGATATATTTTCAATTTAAAATTTCCCCATCAAGAATCTTTTTACAAAATGCTATGAGTAAATATAACCAAGTGCAACTCTGAGGAAGTCTCCACTTTTAATACTAACAACTGTGGTCCTCACTGGCCCCAAAGCGGCTGCTCTCAGCAGGCAGCTGCAACCACCAAAAATCCCATTACGTTATGTTTTGGTTTTAGCTGCCGTGCAGAACAAGCGGCTTTCTGCTTACAGGGATGATATAACGTTTCCTTGTAAACTACATTTAAAAACAAGCCATTGGAAGGAAAATACTAAGAAATGAAGGTACAAGGTCCGATGCAGAAAAGGCAAAAGTCACAAAGGTTGTACACAAAGGTTGTACTCCAGTGACGGAACTTCAGGAAATGCTGCTGAGGGCGCTAGGGAGTCACCCACATTCTGAGCCTGGGAGGGCCAGGGCCAAATAGGAGTCTTGGAGAGACAACCATGATCGAAAGGAGAGGCCAGGTGTCCAGGCCTGGTCGGCAGAGCCCATCGGGATGGAGTCAGTCCTGGGACTGTGGACGGACCTGAGAGGAGACATCCTGGGGACAGCATGGGGTCTGTGACCTGCTATGTGCTGGAGAGGAAGAGGCCTTCGTGTCTGTCCTATGTGCTGTGATTCCAGATGAGGGTCTGTCCATGGAGTTTAGATGTTTCTATCCTCTCCCATCGCAGCAGGAGGCTATGGGCCTCCTACCCCTTTGCCAACTGCCCAGTGCACTGAGCTCTGTGTGGCCCTGCAGGTGATCCAGCTGCATGACTTGCCAGCTGACAAGTCAGAATCTCAGACCAGGGGTTTCCCCAAGACAGGGCCAGGGCCAGGGCCAGTTCTGGGAAAAGTGGGAGGCCCTGGTCCTCCAACCTCAGACAGAGCTTGTGGGGTGGGAGCGCTGGGAGCCTGGGCCTGATCCTGTTGGGCCGCTGGTCTGAGGGCCAAAGTAAGATGGCCACAGGCTGCATGGAACCAGGCCCAGTAATCAGTTCACGTTTATGTGAACAGCACCACCAGCCCAGAGCCAGCCCGCAACTTTTCAAAAACTCTCAGTGAGCCCTGGCTGGTTGGCTCAGTGGATAGAGCGTCGGCCTGCAGACCGAAGGGCCCCAGGTTCCATTCCAGTCAAGGGCATGTGCTCCGTTGTGGGCTCGGTCCCCAATAAGGGGCTTGCAGGAGGCAGCCGATCAATGATGATTCTCTCTCAGATATTTCTCTCTCTCCCTTCCTCTCTGAAATAAAGAATAAAAAATAAAAATAAAAAAAATGCTCAGTGACCTTAGTCCCTTTCAAGAAATGTTTCACCCTGATTGGAAGCCTCCTGAGTTTGAGAACACAGAGCCCCCAAAGATGCCTAGGCTTGGCAACAGTTATCAAAGGAAGGTCTCCAACCCTGACATGTGGGCCCCACTAGACTGCCATCACCCCATCCATCCTCCAAGGAGAATCTCTCAAATTCTCTGAAGTACCCTCTGTGTTCCAGTCAACATGGCCTGTCCCCCTTCCTCCCAATCTGTCCTCCTCCTTCTGTTCCAGCCTGGAGGGCTTCCCTCTCACATCTTCCTGTGCTTGAACCCGACCCAAACTTTACAGTTTAGATCAATGCACCCCTCTCTGAGGCCTCCCCATGCCCTCTGGACAGAAGGTACTCCTGGTTTCCTGATCCTCTTCCAAAGCCTGACCTCACCTGTGGCAGCCAGTCAGGTCTACCTTTGCTCACTGCTCCTCACCCCTGTCCCAAAACACACACAGTTAGTAGTCAGCATATAGAATCCACACATAAATGGCCTAATCGGGAGAAGTTCCACTGTCTCTCCACCGTCCCATGGGGACAGTAAGGAGGCTCAGACATTGAGCCCCAGTCACTCAGCTGTGCAGGCGGCTGACAGGTGGAGACTCACTGGGAAAGGCTATTGGGCTGCCTGACAATTCCATAGATCATCAGGCAGCACAGGACCGAGGCGGCAGGAAAAGGTGTTTTGGGAGTGCATCATGGGAGGTGTGGCCCAACTGGGGTCACAAAGGCATCTGAGCAGAGACATGAGGACAGGGGTTTGGAAGTCCAGGCACACAGTCTCTGCATGGGCGCGGCCGGCTGCCGGGAGGATTTGTGGGGATAATGGACGGGAAGCCCTCAGCACAGTCACGCTCTCCCCACACGTGGGGATTGCTGTCGTCAGCAGCACCCGGACAGCTCACAGGAAGCAGAGGGCTCCAGGCAGCCAGGCCTGAGCTCAGGTTGCGCTGGATAATAATCCTGCCTCCTGAGTAGGAGGAATGGGGCTGCAGCTGAGCCCCCCGCTGCCGGGCGGACTGGCCCAGGTCAGACCTTGCGGTTCTGACAGAGCAGAAACCAGGCCGAGTGACTCAGACATGCAAGAGGGAAGGAAGCTGGATGCAGGCAGAGGAAGACAGCAACCGAGGGCGTGACTGAGGATGGGCCTGGGAGGAGGATGAGACAAGGAGCAGACTGAGAGCAAGAGAAGATCCTCTCCCCTCCTACCTCCCTCCCGAGTTGCGGCAGAAATCAGTGGAGTGACTCCAGTGATGGGTGCGGCAGCCTCTGCATTTATAAACCACGAGGTCTTTTCAGGGCCAACTGGGTGTTAAAAGCTTGTCTAAAAGTCACCCCGTTAGGGGAAGGAGCCAACCACGAACCGGAAACCTGTGAGGTGTACAAATACTGACGTCACTTCTCAGCAGGAAGGAGCTTGGGTGGAGCAAGCTGAGATTAAGGCCCTGCCTCCCTCCCTGCACCCGCAGCTGCCCAGCCACCAGGGGGCCCCGCACTGAGGAGTGCCTGGGAGCACACACCTTCTGCCACACCGGCTTTCCTGCCATTCCTCACACACACACACCTCTTTATTTGCAACTCCAGGGTTTTGTTTTTATTGTTTCCAAACCACATATTACCGGCTCCATTGCACCATTCAGGCTCATCTCAAGTGCCACCTCCTCCTAGAGGCCTCCCCTGACTACCTCATCTAAATTAGCCCACTCCCCCACCTACTGTGCTCTCCCCTCAGATCCTCACAACTCAAACCCTCATCTCCGCAGGTTTTCGTTTCTTTGCTCAGATGTCATCTCATTCACAAAGCCTTCCCTGACCACTCTCCCCCAGCTCTCATCCCACCTCCCTGGTTTCCTCTTCTCTGTCTCACTTCCTAGATCTTTCTTTCGTTGCTGTTTAATTCTTTCCGCTGGAATGTCAGCTCCAAGAGGCAGAGATTATTGTCAGATTTGTTTACTGCTGTGTTACCAGCCTCTAGAAAAGTACCTGGCACTTAGCAGGAATTCAATAAATGTTTGAGGAGTAAATGGATAAGTGTATACACATGTTTAAGAGGAGGGGCTCTGGTCAGACTGCCTGGGGCAGGCGTCTTCAAACTACGGCCCGCGGGCCACATGCGGCCCGCAGAGGAGTCTGATCCGGCCCGCCAGGTTTTTTGGGCAGTGAGCGCAGCCGAGGTGTTACAGTAGGGATTAGTAGTTCATATAGTCCAGCCCTCCAGCTCTCTGAGGGACCGTGATCTGGCCCCCACTTTAAAAAGTTTGAGGACCCCTGGCCTGGGGTCTCATCTCAGCTCTTCCATTTACTGTGTGATCTTGGACCACTTAACCCCCCTGAGACTCTAATTAGTAAAAGGAGAGTAACAACAGTTACTTGCCTCAGAGGATTATTGGGTGATTAAATAAGATCATGCAGCCGAAACCAGTTTGGCTCTGTGGATAGAGCGTCAGCCTGTGGACTAAGGGGCCCCGGGTTCGATTCCTGTCAGGGGCATGTGCCTTGGTTGTGGGCGTATCCGCAGTGGGGGATGTGCAGGAGGCAGCTGGTTGATGTTTCTCTCTCATCGATGTTTCTAACTTTCTGTCCCTCTCCTTTCCTCTCTGTAAAAAATCAGTGATATATATATATATATATATATATATATATATATATATATATTTTTTTTTTTTTTTTTTTAATTCACTTGCTAGCACTTCTTGTTTATTACTCCCTTCCTTATCATTCTGGTGTCAGCTCCCGCCTCCTTCCTCACTACTGACCCCCGTTCCCAGCACGGAGTGGGGAGAGAAAGCCAGGCCTCCTCTCCCATCGGGCACTGAAGTCGGGCCTCACCGATCTGCTTCTCCAGGGCGGCTGCTTCGCAGACGGTGGCCCGGGGCAGGATCCCAGGGTCGGTGAAGCTCGTCTGCAGCAGGCAGCTCATGACGAAGAAGAAGAGGAGAGCAGCGATGATGGGGATGGCGAGGGTCAGCTGGCGGGCCAAGAAGGGACAGCTGGAGAGAGAGGGAGAGACAGACGGGCAGTTACCCACAGGCTCCCTGGGCACAGGGCTAACATGCGAGGCAGCAAACACCCCCGCGTATGTGAACAGAGCCCCTCCCAGAGGCAGCAGCCACTTCCCCATGAGCGCCTGACATCCAGCACTGCACACTTAGCTGCAGCCTCAGAATCCTAAACACAGAGCCTCAGGCGGCTTCTACCAGTTCACTGGAATGGCACTTGAGATGACCCACCCATGACAATGTCCACTCATTCATCCGGTCAGTCCGTCACTCCACAATATTGACTGCAGGCAACACCTTCAGTAAGAAGCAGGAATACTTGGCCATGATAAGACAAGCGTCCCCTGTTCTCTCAATGGGGCTTAGGTCTAGTGACACGTAAGCAGAGAATTGCCACACGGCCCTGCATAGTATGATGGAAGGGAAAGGGAGTAGAACAGTCAGGAAAACAGACTGGCTGAAGGAGACGCCTAAGCTGAAACCTGAAGA